ATGATAGAGCATTCAATTCTGCATCGAATGATATGGTACTTCTCTCTTGTCGATGGGGTGGACACCCCATAGTACCATTAGCAAATTGGTCATTGTAGTGGCCATGTGTGATTTCATATTTTTCATGTAGGCAGACTCATGACCGAGAGAGAAGGCACGGTTTATATGATAGAGCATTCAATTCTGAATCGAATGATATGATACTGCTCTCTCGGCAATGAGGTGGACACTTAAAACAACCCTTAACAAGTGTTTAGCAATAGTGACCATGTAGGATCTGTTTTTTTTCTGGTGAGACTGATAATGAAGATAGTGGTGTAGGTACCCTAGTGAATGTACTCATCCAGAGAGTACGAGTTGCCAGCATGAGTACTCAGATAACTCGAGCGAGTACTCTCAAAAATTCATGAGTATGTAAAATGACCGAGTACTCACATACGTACTCAGACGAATCTTCCACCACACATCTACTCATAGCCAAGATCCTGAGTACTCATTGTAGTACTCGTGGTCTTTTTTTCTGAAAAGACTCAATATATAAAATGAAATGTGTAAGGACGAAGAAGATATCGTGCGCTGACTTGCTATGGACGATAAGTTCATAATTTTAACAAGATAATTTCCTTCTGTGACTGTGGCATTGCAGAGAAACGGACTTATCCAGAGTCTACGAAGCCCTCAAAGGGCAACAAACTCGGACTTTAAATAGTCTATTGGCTACCAAGTATAAGAAATGACCGATCGTAGTACTCAACCAGAATACACTGCCATGAAAGTAAGGATGTGTAGTACTCATATACTCGAAACTCATCATGAGTACGACTGACGAGTACTCAAAAGTCCCGAGTACTCATGAGTACTCGCGGCATTTTCCAGCGTGAGTACTTTTTGAGTACTCTCTAGGTGAGTACTTCCACTAGGGTATTGATTGGAATGGTATTCTCTTGTTCTGACGGTGCACACTTGCAGAGTATGTTACGTTGTTAATATATCAGTGATCGTACTAGAGATATACAATGGGATTTGTAGCTGCTTCTGATGGCAGTGGTCACTGATAGAACGGTATATGTCCATCTATAGGAGGAGTGGAATGTGAAGGAAATGATGATTTAGTAGGATCTAGGAATTAGATGAAGACGACGAAAGAATCGATTTTCTTAGAAGGAGGAAGTGGGGATGATTGTCTAGTCGTTGTTGGTGTTAGTTCATTGTTGTGAGTTACAGAGAATTGAATTTTTGGTTTACAGTTTTCGTTTGGAGCACTTGGTAGGTGTTAGAGTGTTTGTTTTTAAAGAGGATTTGATGGTAACTAAGCGTTTACTATAGGTATTTGCTGGATGGTGTTAGGTACTTTGTGGATTTTTGATGATTGGTTAGTCTAATGATGAATATGATTGGTCGTCGTGGTAGCTTCACATCGATAACATTTTTTATACAAATATATTTTTGACAAAAAGAAAACAAAAAGATTACATTGATTGTAACTCTGAGGAAGATGTCGTACTTTGACATTGATAATCAAATTTAATTCATACGTTATCATTCAGTAAAGGTATTTTTGACAATCAAAATTACTCGAAGAAAACGACATTGTTTCATTTCAAATATATCAACCTATTAGAATAGATATGAATGGTTAATTACAATGATCCATTCGAAAAGAGGTTTTGTTTATTTTCTCCTTTTATTGGACAGTAGACGTCTATATTGACATAGTGAAGTGTTGATAACCTGGACAAATTCTACTCTTATTTTATTTTCTCAATTTATAAATAAATGGATTTATATGTTAATTCTGCATTAACTATAGTCGAACCATTAAGTTTTCATAAAGTACATGGTGATCAAATAAGATTAAGTGAGAATAATACTCGTGCAACTCGTGATCGACTAAACAATACTTTATTATTTACAAATCGACCTATATTAGCAAATGAAATAGTTCAACTTTATATTGAAGAATTATCAAATGATTTTTATGGACTTATTCGTATTGGTTTAACAACAATTAATCCTGATTCATTTACATCAGAAACATTACCAAAAACAATGCCAACAAACGATACTCGTGAGTGGTTTGTACCATCACCACGTGGTCAACCAAATATTAAGAAAAATAAAACTATTCGCCTAAAATATACAGCTGAAGGTGATGTAAGTATTTATTTATTTATTGATTTATTTATTTATTGATCGAATTGTTTTTTTAATTGCTATAAAAAAAAATCAACAGACACGTTAAATTAGATTTGCATGCAACTTAATTTAATCATGTAGAGAATCAAGAAGTAGTCGATTCTATTGTTATAAATATCTATAGAATTATATTTAAAAAATGGGAAGTCTGCGAGAAATCAAATTGATCCCGTTTTTCGAACTACTATGACTGTCATAGTTTTCATTCTTTAGTCTCATTAGTTCCATTATAGTTCTTTTGAGTATGGGTTGGTTGTGCGTGTGTATGGATATGGTCCCTCCACTGACATCTCATTCCCACACTCGAATGAACTAAAGGGACTAAAACGAGATAAATCTGATTTCTCTTGGATCATGATAGTATAATAAAAAAATGTTTAATATTCATACATCGGCGCTATTTGTCTCATATTGTCTATTTTAAATCGTTTCCATTTGTATTCTACATGTTTTGGTAAATTTCTACATCGATGGAAATTGAGAATTGATCAAGAAAATATTTCTAAGAACTAAATGTGTGTCCATTAAAAGTAAGAAATGAATAATCTAATATGCATTTTAATAATAATGACAGGTTCTTCATAACGATAATAATTTATTAAATTACATCAATCCGAAAAAAAGTTTAAAAGATACTTTAAAACAAAATCTTTGTGATAAAGAGTAAGCTTTTTGATTTAAAAAAATATCATCCTAAACTAGATTCATAGTCAAATAAATAATATGACATGCATTGTACATAATATTTCATCATACATATGAATAGCGAGACTATAATTTCAACATTTATTTAGATATTTATTGATTATGATGGTACAAGTTTTATTAAATATTTAACTGTATCACCTATAACAAAAGATATTTGGTGTGCACTTGATTTAAATGGTATTGTTGCACAAATACGTCTTATTCAAACTGAAGCACGTGTTCTAGCAAATCCTGTTGATCGAGCACGAGCACGTTATCTTCTATATACAAATAATCGTCAACAAGAAAATTCATCGATTTATTATAGTGGAGAATTATCATCTGGTTTTGTTACAATGAAAAATTGTGATGAAAATTGCGAAATATCAGATAATATAGCTGTAAAAAAAAATGCAACGTCATCAATTATTATTGATGAAAATCTTAAACGATGTATGTATATTGTTATGCAAATACTTGACATGGATCATACATTATCAACATATTTAACAATACGTTGTCTAATTGATGGAAGACCATCGAATGAACATATAACATTAATTGATACATCATTTGATCATTTAACATTAGGCGATGAAATTGGTTTACGTGTATTACCTGATGGACATATTACATTTTCATGTGATAATCGTCACGTTAAACCATTATTTAATATAGATCTTACTGTTAATGATAATCCTGCTGTACAGCAAACATCATATCGTTTAGAATTTATTATGAATGGACGTGTAACCGGTCTTCGATTAGTTGGACTTTATCGACCAACTGATATAGAAGCACGAACTCTTCCACCAACTATTGGTGGTGGATGTCAAGCTACTATATTACATAGAGTATGTCCAAATGGTCTATCAGGTCTTTTATTACCATGTAGACATTTATGTGTTTGCTTTGAATGTGGTCAAGCTCTTGTCGATAGACATTCATGTCCAAATGTCAAATGTCGTAAACCGGTCAAAGGTTGTATCAAAGTATATAAAGATTAATTAACATTTTCTTCCCGTTGTTCATTTAATACTATTTTTTACATAATTTTTTTTTTCATGATAATTACTTGTGTGTTCGCAAGTCGAATTGAAGATAATAAATTAAAGAACATGTTTATTGTTAAATGAATTTAAAATGAAATGCTTTGAAATAATAGTTTGATGTAAAAGTCTTTGACATATTTGAGATGGATATATGAATGATGTATAAAATAAAAAAGATGGAATAAAGAAATAATTAACGTAAAAAAAAGTGACAAACATAAAACAAAATAAGATAAGAAATGTATCAGTTGAATTTTGTTTTGTATAAAATAAATCAGACAGATTTCAGTTTGAAAAAAAAAGCTATTGAGGAAGTATAAAAGACAGTTTTTTAAACTTTTAAAGGTAATTAAAGAAATTATCTTTTTATTATCATATGTTTTTATTGTATATCTCTGTCAAAAAGTTATTCTTTTTATGCGTAGAAAATTAAGTCAATTGAAGAAAGAAAACTACAAAATATTATCTCCTTTTTTCTATCTTTCTGTTTATTTGCAATAGCGTATGATTGCTTGTTGTTGTGAAACAATAGATTTGTTTTCTTTTAGATTTCAAATTAAACCGTCATTCAAGTAGATGAGAATTTCTGAATACGTGTTTAAACACTCTACTTGCAATTTGCGTTTGAGCATTTTCATGGTCATCTAAAAAAGATTTTTTAAATCATTTATTTTCATTATAAAAGATGTGTAGAAATGGTTAAAACGGCAAGTTTTACATCTGAGAAACATCTAAAAAGTTTTCTCACAATATTTTTCACATAGAACACCAATAAAAAGAAAGTCTTTTTCTATCTGAAAAACACATGATTATATTGCGTAAAAATAAATTTACATATTTTTTCAGATATAAAAGTTACTTTTTTAAGTTTTTGATACATCTTTTATGATGACGATAGATGCTTTTGATGTTCTCTGAATGGTTGAACATTGATAATTCTAATTGATCATGATATAAGGAGTGCCCGAGAAGTTCTGAAATGATTTTAAAATTTATCGTTTCCGCATCCAACAAAAGTAAACTCTTTGAAATATTGGCACATTATTCGATCTATTTAGTATTAAATAAGTACAAAGTTTGAGGTCTATAGCTTTTACAACGGGTGAGAACCGGTAACAACATTGTCATGGACTATTTTTTCGATTTTCTTCCTCATCTTGGTTATTATATTTAAAATAATACGACTTTTCGAAATGAAAAAAGAACCATATTAAGTTATCAATGTTCGTATATTTGATTATCATGCTCACCGATTGCTAATTTTAATTGTGCTGGTATGTTATCTATCATTCGTTGACCTAAAGAAACATTAAATCTCTTTTATTCCTTTTTAATGTCATTTTTCAAGATGATTACGATTCTAAATAATGGATGTACGTGACTATGAGTGTCGTCAAATATTTTTTTATCTATCGAATGAGTCGATAAATTGTGCTGTAAAGCTAACTAGCGTTTGACCTATAGAAAACATTTGGCTGCATTAAAGGAGGGATTATATGGGTGGCAATATAGTAATATTAGACAATTGAAAGATGGCATTAAAAAGGAATGAAAGAAATTTAATGTTTCTTTATGTCAATGAATAATAGATAACATACCAGCACGATTAAAATTAGCAATTGATGAGCATGGTAACCAAATATACGAACATTGATAACTTAATATGGGTTTTATTATTTTGAAAAGCTCTATTTTTATTAAAAATAATAATCAAAATGAGGAAGAAAATCGAAAAAATAGTCCATGACAATGTTGTTACCGGTTCTCATCCATTGTAAAAGCTATAGATCTTAGACATTGTAGTTTATTCTACAAAGAATTCGGTCCGTGCAGTTCTTGAAGATTGTGACTGATGTTCATCGAAATTGATTGCTCTTGCAAAACTCTATTTTACAAAAAATGTCAATTTCCAAATTTTTTTCGATTAAAGAGTCAAGAATGGATCTAAATAATTTTATCAAAACTGATATTGATTGAGCTTTTGATGCGCTACATTTTGGTGAATTTTTTTATTAGAATTTGTTCCACGTAGCTCAAAATAATTGAGAAATAGAAAATTTTCAAGCTGCAAGAACTTTTTACAGGTGTTTAGTTTTTGATTAGTCCTCGGTTCTAGAAAAATATATCTGGTATAAAATTTGTAGTTCAGACATTTCTGTTTCCAACAAAAAAAATTTCATTGGTTTAGAAGTTGGCAATATGATGTAACAAAACTTGATATTTGTCCAAAGACTTTTGCACCGCTTATTATTTTTAATCTGAGCGAAAAAAAAAACTTCTTTAATTACAGTATTTGTTCAACAATAAAACAAGATGCATCGTCGTATGAAGACGTACAGAATAGTAAACTAATTTTCCAATTATCAATTTAAAGACTGAAGGAGAGGATGATCAACATATTAAATTTGTTAGTATATTCTTTACAGAAAAAAGAAAATTCTTTCATTAAGTTCGGATAAGACATTTCGAATAAACGTAAGTTTTCAAGAAACATTGAAATATACAATAATAAGGTCAGGGTAACATTCATTTTTAATTAACAATCTTCTTTTTAAAGTTGTAACTGTTAATCATTTTGTCATTTTCGACATAATCTTTTTTTTATCATAAGATCAATTGATTCTTTAATTTGAAACAAAGTGAATAAGTAAATGCTTACCATTTTCAGCAATATGGATTTTCATTGATTTAATATCTTCGATAAGGGCTATGATCATATTCCTACAATGCCAATCAATCTCAGTTGATAAAAGCATCTATATTACATATTAATCTGTTAAATTTCGTAGTTTTACTTTTTGTTTTTTGAAAAATTCCATAAAAATTCATTGAAATTTTTTTTATTTTATGTCAATCAAAATCTTTCGAATGTCTTCTCTGAAAATATCTTGGTTGATACTGAAATTCTTTCTTTTGTTTTTGATTGAAATAAAAAAAAGTGTACGGTTATCATAAACCAAAATAGTTTTTCTTTTCTTTATTACTCAAAATAAAAAAATATATGAGTGAAACCTTAAAAGAAAATTTCTTTTCTTTGATTAATATTTTTATTTATATGACATCGAACGAAATAGTACTGCTTATTTCTAATAATTTACATTATGAGAAAGCTTGAACATTTGTATCAAAAAAACAAATGTGAAACTATCAAAAAGAAAAAGTTTTATTAATTATATTTGATAATTTTATTTTCGATAATTAATTTTAATTTTAACACAATATATTTCTGATTTAATGCCATATAAAAACATTTTCGAATATTGAGTATTTATTAAAAAGATATATACGTTTAATTTAGGATTTTATTAATCATGAATGAAGATAAAAAAATTGAAAGTACAAATTTTATTTAAAGAAGTATACAGTTTACTTCGAAATATTGAAAAATTGTTTATAGAAAAATAGATGCATCGATGGTTAATACATTCCATGAAGTTATTTTTCAATATAATTTTGTTTGGTTTCTTTCGCATCGTGAACAACAATCAATAGTTTGTGTATGTCAAATATCTTAGACAACGAATAACAACGTGTTTATGGACTCAGAGAAAAGGAGAGAGAGAGAGAATAAAAGAACTCAAAGAAAAATCTACTTCATTATTTTTAATAAGCAACATATTTTATTTTTCATTGACAATGCAACAAAAAGAATTTCTTGTCGGTTTTATTTTGATTTTAATTGTAAGTATTACATAAGCTTATTTAAGGATTTTTTTTTTCATCTATTTTTATTTTTGAACGATAGTCATTATTAGTTAATTTTGTTCAACCATCAACTTTGACTAATTTATGTCCTGGTACATCTTCGTGCAATTGTACACTTACGAATAATACAAATTTAGATATTGTTTGCAGTCCAACACCCGTTCTTACTGAATTACCAACACTTATCAATGAAATACTTCAAGCAAGTGTTACTCAATTACGTGTTAGTTCATCAACAGTTGGTAGTCATGGTCCTCTAATAACATTACCAACAAATATGTGTTCATCATATCCAAATATTGCTATACTTGATCTATCATTAAATACTATAACTGGTTTATTAAATACATCTGAACTTGCATGTTTAGGTTCAAATTTAATTAATATTGATTTTTCAAATAATTATATAGATGATATTGATTTAAATTTTTTTCAAATAACTGATCGATTACAATCAATAAATCTTTCTCAAAATAATTTAACAACAATGCCTATGATTGATCAAGAAACATTTGTTAATTTTCCTTCAACAATTATTTTAATGAATTTTAGTTATAATCAAATAATTAATGCTGATCTTTGGCCTTTATTTGTTAAAACTCGTAAATAAAATTGTTTTTCTTTTTTCATTTCTCTATTGAATATTTTTATCATTTTAGAAAAATATATGGCTATTGATATGAGTAATAATTTAATTGAAAATTATACAAATCAAGTTCCAATATATGTTAAACAATTTACTGAAACACCAGATCCACGTGATTTTTATTTAAATAATAATCAACTTAAACGTTTATCTGATATTTTACTTGAACAATATGGTGCATGTTCAACAATTAGTCCAATAAGTACAGCTTATTTTTTAGTTGGTATATCAAATATATTATTAACAAATAATCCTTTAATATGTGATTGTGAATCATATTATTTAGTAACATATATTAATGATCATATAGATGATTTTCCACAACTAATGAATGGTTCAGCTCTATTAATACAAGCAATATGTACATCACCTGAATCAACTTTCGGACAAAGATATATTTTTTCAAATTTTTCTACATCAGATTCATGTCAAAATTATACATTACCAAATACAACAGATATTTTTTGTTCTGTTTATTCAAATGAAACAAGTTTAACATTAGCACCACCAACATATTGGACAAGTTCAACAACAATATTTACAACAATTATTAATGGAAATCAGACAACATCTAATTCAGATGGAGTAAATTAATTTTAATTTATTCAAATTCAAATATTTATTTTTCTTTTTAGAATACTGGTACTAATACAGATGGTTCATCAAGATCTACATCACCATCATGGTATATTATTTTAGGAATTGTACTTGGTATTGCATTAATACTCTTTTTCGTTGTACTCGGTGGTTACTTATGTAAAGATAGATTATTTCCACAAAAATATCATTCAAAATTATCATTAAATGGTCTTAAACCACGTCGAGCTTCAATGTCAACATCAACATGTGGTGTTGATGATCAAGATAATGGAATGCTTCAATTGGTATTATTATTATTATTATTTATATGAATAAATTATATTGTTCTTTTTGTTTTTTTTTTGACTTTCATAGGATGATCATGGAATACATTCAGATCGTGCATCAGTAAATGGTAATTACTGTGATTTTTATTTAATTTAAATATATATACATATTAAAATATACTCAATAATTTTCTTAGAAAAAGTCTATTGGTCATGATTTATTGAGAAACTTTTAGAATTTATTCTCTTTGTTGTTATTGTAGTTGTCAAAATTGGTACTTTTTTCGATTTATCTTTTAGATAAGATAGTAATCATTCTTTTTACATTAAAGAAAAAACAAAATTAGTTATTTGATTTGAAATAAATCATTAAAAAAACAACCAAGCTTTTGTTTCTATTCAATTCTTCGTTTTAAATTAATGTTTCTTTCAATTGAAATCAACTAATCAATAAAATATATATATGTTTTTTATTTGTAATTCATTTAGGTTGGAGTGATAAAATAAATCCTGAACAAGAAACTCAAACATGTTTTCAAATAGTTCGTACAAAACCACCTAGTGGTTTAACACGAAATCCACAAAATATAAGAAAAACTAATAGTCTTCAAAATTCATCTCGTGAACGTAAATTATCATTATCAACTTCAACTGAAGTTGCAACAAATACAACAAATATCGTTAAAGGTATTCCAATACCATCAATATCAAATAAAATTTCTTCAAATGATAATCCTACAATATCTAATACAAGTACATCTGAATTAAATATGACATCAATTTCACTTACACCATCAAAACGTGCTAAACTTTTACCACAAGTTAAAAATGCAATTGATGCTGATTCAGCAAATAATAATTTATTGAATACATCAGCAGGTGCACTTATTACTAATCAAAGGCAAAGACGTCGTAGTTCAATGTGGTTACGTAAACAACATCAAAATACAATAACACCACTACCTACACGACCACAATCTATGATTGCACATAAAAATATTTTTGATAATGATGATTCTACTAATGAAGAAGTATCTTCAATTCCAACAATGGAAAGTTTATCTAGTAAATCATCTAAACCACCATTACGAGCTTTACCATTACTTAATATTACAGTTGTACCTGCTTGGATTGACGATAATATCGATCAGAAATGATTGAAATGTTTTTGATTTCAGAAATTATTTATAACTTTCTTTTTTTCTTTTTTTTTTTATTTGATTTTTATTTTTGTAATATTATTGAATATATATTTCTATAAACTGAATGAAAACAAATATTTTCATATGATAAATTTATCCATATAAATACTATGTATTACATCATTAAAGTCATAATAAAAGTTTCAAGATTTTTACATTTATTGGATGTAATTCGATGAAACGAATTATATTGAAAGTGAATATTTTATTCAATGAACTAGTCGTATGCATTTGGAAATAGAACAAAATATTCTTCATCTATAGTCGATTATTTATCAATATAATATAAAAAAGTAACAATTATTAACTAGTATCTCACATAGCTATTTTATTTTATCAGTTTTAAATGATATAATTTCTAGATATGATTCATATCATTGATAAATTTATTGAATTAAACAATTCTGAATCCAATCTAATGATTTGAATACGATTCAATATGTTATAAACTCTTTTGAAACGAATCAATTATTAACAAATTAAACGTGATTGTTATGAAGTATTATCAATAAAATTGACTGATCTAACGAGAGAGTATTTCTAAGTGTTAAATTGCTTTTGAATCGGGACTATGTACATCATATAGAATCTAATATGCTATGAAAATTTTGAAAGGAGTTCGAGCTAATAACTTATTGCTGTCAAAATACTGTATTTTTACTGTATTTTCTAGCAGAATCCCATGGTTCCTCCTCATTAACACCAGAAAAAATTAAGTTTTGAATTTCAGCTTGAAACTTTGCATAGAGACAGGTCTTAACGAGAATAGCTTATTGTGAAAGGTTTACATTTTTTGATTGTACCTATTATAAAATCAGAACATTAGAATTTGCCTTGGTATGTAAGTGACATGAAAAACATACTTTTACCATAGCCATATCTTAGAATAGAATCAATCAAAAGATTTTGAAACTTTTACAATATATCATTCTCATTAAGGCCTGTTTCTATGCGAAGTTTCAAGTCAAAATTCGAAACTCAATTTCCTTGGTGATTCTGAAGAGGACCACGACAGTCTGCTAAAAAAGATACGGTACAAAAACAGTATTTCGACAGCAATAAACTATTAGTTCGAACTCGTTTCAGAATATTCATAGGTTAATTAGAACCTACATGATCCACATAATACAGATTTAAAAGTGATCTGACACACTTAGAAATATCCCTTTGTAAGTATCAGTTAGTAGGAAATTTTGTTTCATCTTTCTTTTACATTCACATTTTTCTAAAATTTGAACAATAAAATGGTATAATCAAACAAAATTTTAATAAAAGAAAAATAATATTTAAATTAAATAAATAATATATGGGATAAATAATAACTAAAAATACGATAAAACATGCAACTACTCTAGCACACATGACACAATATAAAAGTTTTTTGTATATGATCAAACGAGTTATAAAATAATTAAATAAAACTTGAAAGTCCACTTCGTTGAAGAATATTTGCCAGCGCAGGATTAAAACCTTGAATTCCTTGAGAATGATTTAAATTATGTCCATTGTTTATCACTGTTGCTGTTGCTGTTGGATTACTTGAATATGATTGTTGACCAAAATTTTGAACACCACCTTTAGCAACATTAACTTGTGGTCCACCAACACCAAAATCACCCAATACTGGTCCACCAGCATGAACACCTCCCAGTACTGGTCCACCAAAATCACCCAATACTGGTCCACCAAAATTACCCAATACTGGTCCACCAAAATTACCCAATACTGATCCACCAAAATCACCCAATACTGATCCACCAAAATCACCCAATACTGATCCACCAAAATCACCCA